TTTTTTTTTTTTTTTTTTTTTGGCTGTGAGCCAGCCGGCAAAAGAGCCCTGTTTACCAAAGGGATGCCTGGGTTAATATTGCAAAAGGCTTCATCCCAGCTTTTAGTCGCTACGGAAGCAGAAAATTCTGCCCGCGGGCTGTGCTGTGCACATGGAGGATGAGCTGCCGGCACCACGCACTCGCTGCCCTTCCTTTGGCCACTGCTGGTCTCAGCCTGAGGTACGAAACTAACTTTCCACCACTGTGACACATCTGAAATAATGAACAAAATCAAACTACTATTCATTTTCAAAGCTGCATGCAAAACTCAAGTGTTTTAGGGAAAACCCACTATTGGAGTGCTAAATAAATACTGCACTGCGCGGTGACCTTATGGGAACTTTTTTTGAGCTCATCCAGCTGCCAAAGGTTTTTTTTTTAATGCATGTTTATTCATGTGGAGAGGATGGGGAGGGCTATTGCTCTGCGTTTCCTTCTGCCGGTCTCCAAGAAATCAAAACTGGGATCCGGCAGAAGAAGCTCTAGATCTAAACAGAGGTAAAGCAAAAGCCTATCTGGATCCTAATTCATTAACAGCTTTAAAAATGTTTTTTCACCACTAGCACTTCGTGGGCAGATGCAGTTTTCCTGAAAGGCTCGCGCTGAGCTCCGCGGCGACATGTGAGCTTTGTGTGTTTCTATTTTTCTTGGCATTCACCGAGTTTTTTTCCTTCTCTTCTCAGCACGAGGACTGAGTGACCTTAGCAATTGCCAGCAAGGGGACTCCGCATGATGAAAGCCGGTGAAAGGGAAAATAAGGGCGGGAACTAGGTAAGGCCAATTCATACCTCAGAGGAGGTGTGGTCCTGCTCCCTACCTGGCTGGGGTCACACTCTTGTGAAATATAAAAAGGGGAAGGCTGTTGTTTCGCAGGCATTCTGTTGCCAGGATCCTGCCGCGAGAAGGAAGGGAGGTGCTGGAAGAAATGCAGAGCAAGAAGTCCGGAGCGTCAGCTGGAAAAGGTGTGGGACACCCCGGTGCCTCTGAACCTTGCGAACACCACCAACCCGGCTCTGCCGGTGCCTTCACAGGGCGGAGGGGCGCGTGGTAGCTGCACCCCGTCCT